TTTGTTGGGGGGGGGGTGGGGGGGGCAGCACATGGTATGCTAGTGAATACAGCAACATGAATCCAGTATCACTCTTGCCCACTGTAACTCCAAAAATAGTCAGTCAATCTTAGGCGCACTGGATTACCTTCAATACCACAGTACACCTACCCCAGAAGTGATCTCTTACACACCAAACAGTCCAATAAATCTTTCCCCATCTGCCCATTCCCCAGCAGATTCTAGATGTGCCCTGGTTAGGTGATCAAGCTCATTTACATGCATGATAGTCTTATGGCATATTTTGATTACATCAAAAGGTTAGTAGTCATTATGGTAGCTCTAGTCTAAGTTAGAAGCATGCCGTTTAGAAGTGCTTACAGAACCTGGTCCGTGAACCATTAGAAAAATACCAGCGAGTGGATAGAGCGCTCAGGCACCGGAGCCCATGTTAGGCTAGAAGGGCAGCAGGTTACAGAGCAGTGAGAGGCACCTTCTGAACAGACTTGCCAGCACCAGGCACCACACGTCCATCTGTGCCACATGCATGCATCTCCTATCTAGAGGCACTGCCATTTTAACCCTCTCTCGTCAATCTGGAAATGCCTTCCAAAGCTTCCTTGTCATGATCACTGGCAGGTAAGGAGTCAGAGCCGGGCATCTGAATGAAAACTAGAGAATGCAACATCAAGGAAAGGTGTCTTTTGACTACAGTCTCCTGGCATAGAGGACCCCAGCAAAGCTCCCGTCTTCTTCAAGCACCATGGGCTGCTTCTTGCAGAGGCAATCAGCCCATTGGCAAGACAGTAGCTGCACTGCCTTGGAACCAAGCAGCAACGGGAAGAATCCCAGAAAACCATCATCATGGAACCACTTGGCATTTCCATGGAAACGCAAGCACTGGTCCCATCGGGTTGATTAGTCAATCAGCTTAACAACTACAGTGAAGGAAGCACACAACCAGCTTCTCCATCTGGGGAAGAGGAGCATTCCCCGAGGCAAGAAGGGGTCACAAGGCTTCCCTGGCAGCCATGTGGTAAAGCCAAGGTTTCAGACTTAAGACAATTTGGAGAGTGATCATTTCTAAGGAAACTTGAGACCTTTCCCCCCCGGCCAGCCCTGGTGAAGCATTCTACCTACAAAGCCTTGAGAAGTGAGAGAGGAGCTCAAGCGATGCAGCACAAACTGCTCTTGAGAAGCCCTCACCCAGTTTGTCAGCGGATGTGATTATATCAGCTGGAACGGACGAGTCCAAATCAGCATCCAAGATTCCCAGTGGGTCGAGCTGTGCTACATGGTGCCCTCGAATCTATGAAATGAGCCGGGAATGGAGGGAGGAGAGGAGAGGAGAGGAGAGTGGAGACCAAAAGGGACAGGAGAAACAAAAAAAAAAAAAAAAAAAAAAAGAGGGGTGGGGAAGGGAGGGGAGGGGTAAAAAAGTTAAGTTACATTCAAATTAAATTGGCAGATCAATTCTCACCGACGTTTGGAGAAACAGTTACTGGCGAATCATCAAAATTTACACAGCTAATGCCAAGAGGATCAAGTTTTGCAATGTGATGACCCCTGACCTGGAAGCAACAACATACATTAGTAATTATTATAAAACCAAGGTAACAGGAGAGAGGCATTTGTTAGACACACAAGCACCCTCCCCCCTGCTTTGTCAAACCAATTTTTGTCTGCATTGTATAATAAGAGGGTCCCTACTTGGTCAATCACTAGCATAAACGAGTCATAAGACTACTGCACCGCTGTTATGGTGCATATTTGGCAAGGATCTGAAAACACCTTACACAAATTTTTCAGAGGTGACCCCTCTCCCCTGTGCAGGGGCAAGTAATCCCATTAACAGCTGGAAGCAAAATGCAGAGGGAGTTACTGTATTTCCCCCCCCACACACACACACACCATCTTTCTTTCCCCCACAAAGAAATCAATGGCTGGAAACTGGAGCATGCACTGTGAGAATAGATATGGTAACCACCAGTTCTGCTGGGCAAAAGTGAAAGCAATTTTGCACATGTTCCCTAGGGAGCAGAATACCTACCAGGCTGGGCTCCTGCCCTGATGCTACTCAGTTACTTACTATAAGGAAAGATCTTGCGCGCCCCACTTTGATCTGCCTTTCAAAAACAAGGTGCTTATTATGTTCCAGGGTGTGCTGTATGTGAGACAACACGGTATGTTGACTGGCAACTCTTTAAGGCCTCTACTAGCCACTCCCAGTCTTTCAGGCCACTCCAGCTGAGCTTGAACTCCAAGATGGGGTTGATCCCCCAAGGTAATACAGTTACAACTCCCTTTTCCATAAACTGGAGGCAAAGAAGGAGGCATGAATCAAACACATACCATCTAGGACAAATAAGGTCTCTGGCTCCTACTAGACCTGCATTTACTTGGTTTGCAGAGGAGAAATATGCAGTGCTGGGGGCTTTGTAAAGAAACTAAGACCTATGGAAAATTCTCAAAGAAAACAGCTCTGAGATAAAGGTGGCACTACCACTGTCAGCCTGGAGCAGGGGAGAAGAGGCACCTGTTTCACACAGCCCCAAGCTCAAAACTAGCATCCTTCAAAGGGCCAAAGCCAATTCTGGACCAGCTCCCAGGACAAAGAGTACTGGCTGCTATTCTGTTTGTCCCAGGGCCTTCATAAATGAAAGACTGCAGCCAGGGGGGTAGGAAAGAGTGCTCTCAGACAGGCAGGCACAGAGTATGTGGAAAACATCAAGTCAAAGTATACCTGTCCTGGCATTAGCAAAATCAATGGAAAGTTACTTTAGATCCCCATGCATTTGTCCTTCTCTGAGCTGGCAACTCAAGCCACCTTGTGTCTTTCAATGTTGACCTAAGGATGATACAAAGAACAGGACAGAGCGATGGGATAAGCTGTGGCAGGAGCCACTGGAGTTGGCAAGGAGATGTGGGTCAGGAGTCAAGGTCTTGGAAAAAAAAAAAAAAAAGAGCTAGGCCTCAGGGCACTCAAGAGGTTCCAGCTGGGGAAGCAGAACAGGACTGGTGTCCTGAAGCACTCAGGATGGTCCCACTGCAAGTCTCAAAAGCTGTTTCTTCCCAACAGCATGACCCAAGAAGCCATGTTCCAAATAAACCCAGCTGATACCCATGAAGGAGAAATATTTAATATCAGCTTGGACCTTCGGGCCAAACTGGAAGCCACCAAGCAATAGGTACCAATATAGCAAGAACCACAACACAGATCAGTTTCTTAAGGCTGTTAAGGCTTTGGGTTGAGAGTCTCACCTGTACTTGGGACTATGATGCGGTTATTACCTACCAGGGGGCTGCAAAAGGTCAGAGGCAACCCAACACCTGGCCTACATCATCAGCAATGTCACTTCCTCTCCCGCCAAGTCAGAAGTGAGTGTTTTCCCACTCCCCACCCCCACATGGCCCTCACCAGACAGCTTCCTATTAAGTGGTGGCCACCCTCATATGCTTCCTCAGCTGCTCCTCTACATCCGGAGTTAGCAGCTTTTATTTTCTGGGTCTGCCATTTTACCCAATGGAGGAGATAGTTTTCTAGAAGCTACAGAGCCAGAGGGGAGGGAGGGGTGCCCAACCAAGTCTTCAGATGCTACCACTTTTTACTGAACTGCTGTCAGGTCATTTTGAAGCAAGCTCAGGGACTCTGGAGTAGTGTCTGCATTGCCAAAGAGTTCTCCAGCCCTATTTAGGTAGCCACACTCTGCAAACCACTGCACTGATTCCCCAACGCGTCTGCAGTTCTAAGAGCTGTGGCCCTCATGTCTCATTAGTAGCTCATTCTGCTTCAGCCCCTGCTTCTTCTCTGCAGTTCATTCTACTTGGCTTCTGGGATGTGATTATTTAAACCTTAAAACAGCACAGCCGCTTCTGGTGTGAAAGCAGTGAAATATGGGCCTAAGAGAGATTTATACCAGAAGCATTTGTTGCCTTTCCTCTATGGAAATCACACGGCTAGTAAAACCCACCACCCCAGTAATAGAGGTTATATTGCTTTATCCTAGTGGAATGGAAGGGGGACAACTTGTGTATACATAAAAGGGCACCCACAAACGTGCTGGGGGGAGGGGGGGGGAGAAAGGTGTTTTTTAAATTTTAGTGGCTCTTGGGAGCTGCTCCAATTAAAAGCACCTTCACATCTTGTGTATTCAGCATCCAGTGTTTCAAAACAACAGCAGGATGCTTTAACTAAAGCCTGTTCAGTGAGCTTTAGTTTAAGCACCCCTGCCAGCCTTTTGAAACATGGGGATGCTGAATATATGAGGCATTGCAGCATACTGGCACGTTCTAATCAGAACGCATTAGAGAACATGTAAAGTGCCCAAAGGAGCATTCAGGGAGCCCTAGCCACAATTTGGTTCAAGGGCCGATTTGTTTTGGTTCTTTGATGAAGTGAGGGGAACTCACCAAGTAGCACATGAACCCCAGTTAAAGCTGACAAGCCTCCGAAGTGGTGATTCTCAACTGGGGGCCCCCATGGGGTGCTGAGAGAGCCTTTTAAGGGTGTTATGAAATACAAGCCCTTTTAAACCTACCAACATCTGGGTTTCTCATGAACCATCTGTAAAAATAGGAACCCAGAGCATTAAAGACCATTCTGCCCTCTCATGGCCTGCGTTCTCTGGAATAGAAGCATTGCTCTAATATTTTTCTGTAGTCAAGAAACAAGTCAAAGCTAAAAGCAGGCACCCTCTGGGGTAGCTGGAGCTCTGGAGTCTAACAAGGGGCCAGCCTCAAGTCTAAATAGCTTGAGAAGCACTGCCACAGAATTCTGGATTTCAGCAGCAAAATAAGAGGATATATGAAACCAAACCTGCAAAGAGGCAATAAGCTCAGCTGGCCAAACCCCACGTGGTCTGGGGTCCCCATGGAAGCAGTCCTGTTTTGTGGTAGCCACAAGTCCAAGGAGGGTTGGCTTAGCTCAGGGGTGGGCAATTATTTCAGGCGGAAGGCCACTTACTGAGTTTTGGCAAGCCATCAGGGGCCGTATGACAGGCAGCCAGGGGCAGATAAATATTAATTTTCTACATTTTTTAGGGGCCCTCTGGGCCGCATTTTCCCACCCCTGGCTTAGCTGGAGGAAGCTTTTCAGCAGCTCAGAGCAAGAGGAAGGAGATGGGCCTCTTTTTATCCCCAAGAGGCACAGTCTGCAGGCAGACAAGATGTAGCATTTCACTAAGGTGGAGGACATGACATGACACTTTCCCTCTTGGGGTTAGGATTGTTTCCCTGCCCTTGAAGAACCAGCACTTCGCTCTAAGGCGATGCAGAAGCCATGAATATGCACATTCAGAGCAGGGGAAGATTAAAACTCGAGGGAGGCACCCCAAATCCATCCAGTCCAAGCAGTTAATTGCCAGGTGCATGGAAGAGGCAACTGTCCCATACATTTGGTTGCACAGACCTCCATAGCTTTTAAGGCTGTCTATATAGAATTACAAGGTTGGAAAAACTATGGGGACATTGCTAATATGGATTATACCAAGCTAAAAGTAAACCTCTGCAAACCAAGCCACTTACACATAGAGAGGATCTTAAAACCTCTAGTCTTGGCCCTTCTTCTATGGTTTTCCTCCCCAGCATTGTCATCGGAATCAGGGAGAAAAAGAGAGGGCTGAGAAGCATGAGTCGTGGATTTTAAAGGACTCCAGTGAGGCTTCTTTTCTAAACAGCAAATGTGCTTGGTCATTCCACAAGCCAGGGAACTGCATGGTGATGAGATGCCATCCAAGACACTGGAAACAGATTCTAAACTGACCCAGAAGATTCAAGCGGCAGCCTGTTTTTCTGCTTATCTATCACTAAGCAGGACAAGGCTGATAGCCTCAGTCTCTTGTGCTGCAAAACCAAAAGACTCAAACGTGTTGCAGAAGAATTGTGTTGCCTTGTGGCAAGAAGGAGATCAGTGCACGTTGCCTGGCTTGTCTTCAGGAGGAAAATTGCAAAGAAGCCATCAGGGGGGACCTAGTGGCTGCCTATAAATATGCAAGGGGTGTACATCAGGATCTCGGGGAATGCCTGTTCACCAGAGCGCCCCATGGGATGACAAGGTCAAATGGTCACAAGCTCCTCCAAGACCATTTCAGGCTGAACATAAGGAAGAACTTGTTTACTGTCCGAGCCCCCAAGGCCTGGAACAGACTGCCACCAGAGGTGATGCAAGCACCTACTCTGGACTCCTTCAAGAGTCAACTGGATGGTTATCTTGCTGGGATCCTGAGATCTCAGCCAACTTCCTCCCCCTGGGGCAGAGGGGCTGGACTCCATCTTCCGAGGTCCGTTCCAGCCTTAAAATGTCTATGAAAATCTATGAAAAGTTGAGGAAGCAAAGCTGGCCATTATCAAAAGCACAAGGTTGATCCCACCTTGTAGATAACCTGATGAGTTTCTCCTTGAGCAACAGTGCCAGACACCTACTACAGGTGGCAAGAGATATACAAGAGGGTAATCAGCAGTTTTGTTAACCTACTGCACAGGCTGCCCACAAAGGGATAGGAAGTCTGTATATTCTTGCATGTAACATGCTTTTTCCACCAAAAAAACAGCTGTTAGAAATTGAAGAGTCTTATATGCAGGTTTTACCACTTGTTAGCTCAAACCAAAAGAAAGATCTGCAGCAACCCACTGGAAGCAGGACAAGAAACAGGCTCTGCTCTCTCACTTACAAGGAAAGATCTCCCCCCACCCAACATTTCAAAAACAAGGGTGTGTGTTATAGTCTGTGGATGTTTTGTATGAAAACAAATATGGTAGATGTTAGCCCTTTTTGAAGGGTCACTGCAAAGCAGATAGCAATTAGAGAGAGCTGAATGGAAGATCTGAGCAAGAGGAGCTTTTTGCCCCCTGTTGCTTCCTTGACAATGGAACTTAAAGTGTGCATTGATTTCTGCAGCTAGGGATATGCACCTCTTGAAAGGAAGATTTTGGCAGCCAGGTCCACGCTAATCCAACCATTATCTGAGAAGCCAGCAAGGACGTGGCCCCCAGCCCCTTGCCATCAGGGAGATAGAGACATATTTCCTGCACTTGATACACCCTGGGGAATTATACGCACAGGTGCATAATTGTATAATTATACAATTATGCATCCCACAGATTCCACACACCCCTTTGCAACCCACCCACCCACCAACCATACAAAAGTACCGGCATATATTTTTCTAAAGAAGGTTCAAACAGTGTTATATTTAGTTTAATTTGTAAAAAAGTTATTAATTAATTTAGCATAACTGAGTCTTCCTGTCCGTCATTGAGTTTTTATGCACATAATTCCCTGAGGTGTAACTTGGAGTTCTAGATGGGTGACAAAGCAAAAGGGGGGGGGGGGGGAAAGGGGGGGGGAAAAGAAAAAGGGGGGGGGGGGGGGGAAAGAAGAAGAGATGGGACAGGGAATGACCACACCAAGGGGCTTGAATAGAGTGAAAAGTGGTAGCTGCAAGGGTGGAGTTAATAACTCTGCTAATTGCCCTGTTGGCTGACAATGTCTTTAAAGTGTTACTATGGTCTAGCAAGGATCAGCTGATTCCTTCTTTTTCCCCCGCCCCTCCAGGTTAGTAGCTTGCTCATCAACCTACACAGAACAGTCAGAAAGGACACAGCTGTCTCAGTTCACAGGTTGACCTGGATGGATCTCTCCAACACAAGGCAGCATGCAGTTTGCTTTCACTGAGTTACATAAAGTATAGCCCAGGACCTGAGACCGACTGTACAGTGCCAGGCTTGATTCTCCACTGCCCTGAGCCAGGTCCAGGCAAGGGGAACCAGGCTCTCATCACTCTTACCTGGTAGGCCCTGACGAGCGACTGTACGGCGAGATGGTCTTCCACCAGCTTATCAACATTAGGCTGTGCTTGGACAAGGGCCTGGGCGTGGGTCAGTGCAGACAGGCTGGTGCTCAGTGGAGGGGGGCTTTGGTAAGCGGTGCCCGGAGCAGCTCCAGCATTGGCATTGCGAAAAAATATGTCCCATGACTGCAGAGATAGAAGGGAGAGCAGAATGAGTCCATCATGGATCTCCCCAATGCCATACCTGTACAAGTTCCTCTGGCTCAGTGGATAACCCAGCTGTTGGGAGCTGCTCCACACAACAATTTGTATGTAGCCTACATGACACCAGGGACAGCTTAAGAGTGCAGGACATAACTGGAGACAGCTGGCCCCACTCCCCAACCATCTATCACCACAATCCACTAGCCAGTGACAGGAACTAGAGAGGGTACAGCTATGCACAACAGGATGATGACTGGTATGAAGGGGTTGCCCTATGAAGAGAAACTAATGAGGCCAGGCCTGCTCATTTTAGAAGAAATTCTTGAACAGAGAAAGTCAATAGGGATTTATTACTGATGGTCTCTCCCCATACAAGAACAGGGGTCACAACATGAAACTCGTAGGCAGTCAGTTTAAAACCAACATAAGGCAGTTCTTTTTCAACCTGGAGGTCATTCAAGGGCAGGACTCATTGGCCACCAGATGTAGGGGAATCTGAACATTCAGCCAGATTCACTAAAGGACTGGACATGTTCTTGGAAAAAAAGGGGCATCAGTGGCTATAGATCACAGGAGTGAGGGGCGCAGCCTCTAAAAATCAGAACATCCTAGGCCTTAAATGCTGAAGGCTGCAGGTGAAAGACAAATGGGGAAAAAGCCTGGTCATCCCCAGGGTCAGGCTCCCTTCCAGCATCTGCCCGCTGTGACACAGGAGACTGGGCAAGATGGAACTATGGAGCGACCCAGTCCATGACAGTTCTTATGTTCTTTATACATCTTCAGTTCGTCTGCTCCACACAGATACAGCTGGTAGCCTATAAGGGGCACAGCTACCGTATCCTGCCTGCTCCACATAGCAGCCAAAATACAAGTCAGACCCAGTACATGGTCCTGTACCTTAAATTTTTTATATATTATGCTGTGGTGCCCAGGGATGCCACGAGATCCTTTGAAGGGCACCACACAATAATTAGCATTGTTAGATCTTCACACGCAGTGGCCAAGAGAAACCCAGTGATTTCTAACAGGAATCTGGAGTGTCCAAACTATTCTGACCTGCCAGGGTCTTTGGAGGTCTTTGCCACAAAAGAATTGCTCTGGTATTTTTTCTGTATAGGAATGAAAGTCAATAAAAGAATGGAAACTAAGAGCTGGCATTTTCCAAGGGGGGGCATGTAGTATGCCAATAAATACAGCAGAGGGTGGGGTTCACTGTGATATTACCAACACCCATCTTTCACAGCACTGTCGCACAGGCATCAGGGACTTCAGCAAGACTAACAACCTGTGGAAGCACTGGAAAGTCTCATGGATACCGCAGGAGAGCAAACATTGGCTTGCAGTACTGTCAGTTATGAAGCCATGCCACACATGTCCCTAATGGAAAAAGCCAACAGATGCCTGCCCAGATATGGGCAATTGTGGGGGGAGGAAGGAAGGAAACCATGCTAGAGAAACCAGAAACCAAAAGGATACTGGAGCCAAGTGAGTCAGGCACAAAGCTGCTGACTCCAGCATCATTAAAAAGCCTGCCTCAGCTTGGAGCGTTTCCCTGCTGACGCCAGTTTAAAACTTGCTCTCTGCTCAGCTGCCATCTACCTAGCAATAAAGCCAGGCCTCCCATCTCCAAGGCTAAGAACCTCAGGAGAGCAGGATTTTGAGAGCCAAAAGCACCTCCAGGGGCCGAGTTTGCAGTTCAGGCCTGAACAGCTGGCAAAGTTAAAGACACACCACAGAAGACGGGGAATAAGCAATCAACACTGACTCAAGCGTCGAGCTGGTAACCCAGACTCGGCCGTGAAAAGCTCTCGCTCCCTCCCCAAGCAGATCCGCTGAATTATGGGTGCAGGGAGGGGAAGAGGTTGACATATTCAGTTTTGAGAGGGGTGAAAGGATATGGGATACAGCTAGAAGGCTCCCATGACCAGAGCAGGGCCAGAGTCTGTGGGGCAAAGGTGCATTTGGGTGGAGACAGCATGTTCTTCTCAATACACATGGACCTGGCTCTGGACAAGAGGGGTATTCTGGACTGTCCTGTATCAGCAGTCTCCATCTCTATAAGCACTTGCTGCATTACTGTAGGATATGGTTCAGAGCCCACAATCACCCTAGTCCTGTAGAAGAGTCCAGGCTCTGCTCCTTTGACTTTCTCCTCCAAAATGATACCAAAGCTCCCCACATCTGCCTCTGCTCAGGCCCATACTGCATATCCTGTGCCTGATGCACCCTTCCATGTTATTTCTTGCAATCCAGAGGAAGAACTGGCCGCAGCTCTGAGCTGGACCCACCAGAGATCCTGGCTGTGCTCAATGAACCCTTTCTGACCTGCTGCCTTTTGCCAGTTAGTCTCAGGAGCTGGCAGCATCCAAGGCCAATGCTAGAGCACTTAGGCCAACGGCTGAGAAGCAAGAGCGGAGTCCTAGAGGCATTCAGTCAGTAGAGGGAAATTTCTGGGGGGGAGTCAGGTCTGTGAATGTTTCACCTCTTCTCAGGCTACCCTATTGTTCACTAGAGAGACTGTGACCTTTAAAACTAAGCACTTTCAGAGGGGGCCAAGGCTGGCTAGCTGTTCCCCCTCCATCGAATCACGAGGTGGCAGCCCAACTCATAACAATAGCCTCAGTGACTCAATGGCAGCCTGGATCCATCATCCTTGGCACCTGTCCCTCACCCTCCCTTCTTTAAGGGTTAAAGGGCTCGTGGACATCTCAACAGCATCCAGCCCCAACCCAAGCCTGAAGGGGAGAGTACACATCACCTCCTCATCTCATAGGACAGTCCAAAAAGACTTCGTCTTTGGCTGCTGGAGAAACAGTCTAGTACAGGGTGCTCCCTGGTCAAAGATGCAAAATACACTGAAAGAGCAGAAAAAAAAGTTGTGGGATCTCCATCCCTGGAAAGTTTCCGAGGGCAGGGCAGACAGGCTGCAAAGAGTTTAGTCCTGCCCCAAGTAAGGGGCTGGACTAAATGACTCTGTGACATCTCTCCCAGCCTGACTTTCCTATGATCCAGATGCCTGAATGCACTCCTGCCAGCCCAACCCAGCCCCTGTAGACAGCAGATACCCCTTCCCCACTAGCAGGACTATTCCAGGAGCCGCTGCTCATCTGACACTGCTCTGATCCTGCACTACTGGGAAGTTATTTTCAGCATGTTCAACTTCCAGGCCTGCTGGTCACAAGGTGATTAAATTTAGAAACGACTCACATAGCGGTGACACAAGCCAAGAGCGACATGTGGGTTCTACCCAGATTTCAATCCCATGCATCCAGAATGAGTCTAGGAAGGGCTCCTCACTGCTGGAGGGAAGGACTAGACCAAGAGGCATCAAAGAAGTGGGGCTCCAGAGGTCACACCTAGTTCAAGCCCCTGCCTGAGGAAGGATCACTGTTGTCCAAACCATCCCAGACAAATCCACTGTCCAACCTCTGAGCAAAACTCTACCAACAACCCCAAAAGCACCAGTCCCTACCCAACTAGATGAAAACCCATACAACAGCATTCGAGCCATTAGGAATGGGACAGGGCATCTCAGGCTCTGCTCCCTCAGAGAAGAGGGAAACGTGAATCTCAGCGCAGGAAACACCAAATACCGAGGGGGGAAAACCTAACAGGAAAGATTTCCTCCTGGATTGATGGCAGCCAGCTGAATGCTGGAGACAGCACAGGAGACAGAGAGGCCAGTCAGCAGCTCCTGAAGGATTCATATGCATCTTCAAGGCTGGAGAGTCAAAACCAGGGTGCCATGGCACTCTTCGGCAAGGTTCTTCTAAGGGTGCCAAGCAACATTAGCACTGTTGGATGTGCCAACACTTTTCAGTGGCTTGAACAAGAGAAACCCTGGCATTTCCAATAAAAATCTAGGAGTAGCCAAACCCTCTGGTCTTGTCATGGGCTTATTGAGTTCTCTGCAGGCTCTGATATTTTTCCCCCATAGACAAAACCCAGAGTGAAATCTCAAGAACTGGCATTTATTCAAGGGGGGGAAAACACGGGACAGGGACTGTAGTCTAATGAGACTGAGAACCTCTGCTCTATAATGACCCCTGTTCTGTCTTTAGAACCGAGCCAAGCAGAAAGGGCCATGAATGAGGCTTCTTGGCCCTTAAGATCTTAATTAAGAAGTCATCCATAAAAATTCAAAAAAAAATAAATCATAGAAAATGAGAGTTCGAAGGGACCTCAGGAGGTCACATCTAGTCCAACCTCCTGCTCAAAGAAGAACCATCCCCAGCTAGATCATCAAGGCTTTGTTTAAGACCTGGCTAGACAACTCTAAGGATGGCGATTCCTCCACTTCTCTGGGTAATTTGTTCCAGTGTTTTACTACCATCCTCACGAGAAAGGTTCTCCTAATACTGAACCTCAACTTTCCTCGCTGCAACATGAGACCATTGCTCCTTGTTCCATCATCTGCCATCACTGAGAACAGTCCAGCTCCAACCCCACTTCAGGTAGGGGAAGGCTGCTGTTAAATCCCCTCTCAGTCTTCTCTTCTCCAAACTAAATAAGCCCAGTTCCCTCAGCATCTAAGTCATGTCCTCCAGCCCTTGAACTATTTTTGTTGCACTCTGCTGGACTCTCTCCAATTCAGCCACACCCTTTCTGTAGTGAGGGGCCCAAAACTGGACACAGGACTCCAGATGTGGCCTCACTAGTGCCAAATAGAGGGGAACAATCACTTCCCTCAGGGGCGATGTGTAGGGGGTACACATGGACCCTGAGCGCAGTGGTGCACCCCCTACAAAAAGGGGGCACCGACAGTGGTGGCGGTGCCTGTGGGCGGTTGCTGCTCACCAGACTGCCACCGACAGTGCTGGGGGCTTCTGCGGGTAGCCCGAGATGCCCACTAGTTGCTGCCAAAGGTGGCTGCATGTGGTCACCGACCCTTGGTCAGCGCTCACCCCCCCCATCACCACCCCCAGCTAGTGCTGGCGGCATCTGCAGGAGCTCCCCCGCTTACCGCCGCCGCTGCCATACCC